TATATAAAGTAAATTTTGCTGTGTTGTGTGCTGTTTAATATAAAACCTAATCCCCAGCTCTGCTTAAAATTAACTAACTCCCTGTAAAACCTACATTATCTATTCTCCCACATTCTCAGCAAAGTTCCCGGGTATCTCAAGACTTCTGTTTTTCTTGCTCACCAGCTGCAAAGTCACAGGGAAGATAACACCCAAAGAATGTACAGTGCTGTACATTCTTACATATTACAAATTAATTAACTGTTCTTTGTACAGTGCTGTACATTCTTACATGCTACAAATTACATGACATGTTACAAATTAACTGTTCTTTGTTCTGGCTTCTGTAAAGCTGTTAGCTGCCACGTCACCCTGGTTGTATAAAAAGTATCCCATTTTCTTTCTCCTTTGCTCAGCCTTGGGATGCTAATCTGCTGACCAATCACCCGTTAGTCTCTCCAGTCTCCTGAATATTCTGCAACAACCACGGTGGGCTAGGTTTTTTTTTTTTTTTTTTTTTTTTTTNTTTTAAGTAGAGACAGGGTTTTACCATGTTGGCTAGGCTGGTCTCAAACTCCTGACCTCAAGTGATCTACCCGCCTTAGCCTCCCAAAGTGCTGGGATTATTGGTGTGCACCACTGTGCCCAGCCCTATTTGCATGTTTAATGCATTTTTTGAAAGATGTGGAAAATCTTTTGGAAACCTTCTAGAGTTTTCCAAAAGTGTGTTACACTCACCTTCCAGAGGTTTCCAAAAGATGCCCTGCTTAAGCGTGTAGGATATCTTTAAAAAAAAAAACCCAAACTAGTAGAACTTTCTGGATCCACTAAGTGCAGCCCATGATGCCAACATGATTATCATAATACCAATCTCTGTGAAGTGGAAGAACTGAAAAAACATGTGCCTGTATTTGTTGGGAAGCCAGTTCTTTTCAGTGCACCGTACCTTTCATTCATTTTCTTGAATATCTGATGTACGTCCATCTCTCCAACTAGACTATAAACTCCACGAGGGGAGGGTTTGTGTCTGGTTTTGCTCACCACTGTATCTGTACTCTTCATAGCACCTGGCTCATGGTAAGCCAAGCCCTTGCAAATATTTGTTAATGAATTGTGGCATGTTCAAGAAAAGAACCTGGAGAACCTCCGCTGGTTATCATCATGGGTGAAACAAAGTTGGTCAGGAGTTAGGATCTGCTACACAGAAGCCTCCCGGCTCATGGGCTTCCCTTTCTTGCAACTCAACAGCATCATGCACCACAGTATTTCAAAACTTCTGGCTTAGCTCTTGTTTTTGTTTTTTTCTAACATTGTGAATATGCGCACACACTACACAAGGTACTTCAAGCTGTTCAAACCACCCCAGCCCCCCCCACACATTAGGTAAAGCCAGGCTGTTTCACTCCACAGGAAGTGAACTCCTACCAGCCTCCTCCCTCTACCTTCTGCTCCTGGGATACATCCCTGGCCAGGGCCTCTCTGGGTGTGGGTGTCAGCACTGGTATGAACTGTGGTTTCTCCCTCATTCATCCTGGACTGGCCCCCAATTTCTGACACGCATGGGGTGGTGGAAAGTATTCCAGGAAAGTCTGGCTCATGTCATTCTGGAAAGACATGTACTTTTCATAACAAATCACTTTGTGCTACGCTCACCAAGGAGTTCCTGTCCCAAGATGGGCTCACTTCTTTCCTTCTCCTTCCCAAGTGTTATGTGGGTTTAGTTATACACATTCCAGGGTCAATAAGCTCATTTATGTATCATAGTGTCACTAAAGACAGAGTTCATGTTTAAAGAGTGTTGGTACCATTCATTGATCCAGAAATAAAGCTAACTTGGCCAGGCACAGTGGCTCATGCCTGTAATCACAGCACTTTGGGAGGCAGAGGCAGAATGATTGCTTGAGGTCAGGAGTTCAAGACCATCCTGGGCAACATAGTGAGACCCTCTATCTACAAAACAAAACAAAACAAACAAAAACTAGCTGGGCGTGGTGGCGCATTCCTGTAGTCCCAGCTACTTGGGATGCTGAGGTGGGAAGACTGCTTGGGCACAGACTGTCAAGGCTGCAGTGAGCTATGAAAGCAGCACTGCACTGCAGCCTGGGCGACAGAGCGAGTCCCTGCCTCAAAAAAGGAAAGAAAAAGTTTCAGCAGCAATACAATGAAAATACATACACTTGCGTATGCTCTGCATGACCAGGATGAAGGAAACCAGATGAATGCTTATGCTTAGCTCCCCTCACAGCAGCATATTCTGTGGTCACTTAGGCAGTAAACAAATGGCAGAGCTATTTTCTACAAATTATGAACTTACCATTATCCTCCCATTCTTTGAAATTTAGGAAGACATTGTCTTTTTTAAGTTCTGATTTCTCAGGCTAAGAGAATTTATAGATCTGGATCTGTGAACACTGAGAATTTATAGATCTCGGTCAACAGTGCCCACAGAGCTTCTCCACAGCCTCTCCCACAGGTAGGCTCCTGGGCAGCTCAGCAGTCCTCGAGTACGTCCACAGTCATTCTCCTACCCCACCATCTGTCTCCATCACTTTCAGAAGTTTGTCTCATTCCCACTGTTTGCCTGGTGAATCCCTGGATCCCCTCAGGCCCCACCTCATCACCTCTGCCTCTACAGGCCCCTATCCATGACTCCCCAGAGTGCTGATAAGTCCTTGTGTGCCCCCAATGTTCCTATAGTTATATCCACAGTGGCAGTTCTCATTGTTAAATGTCATCAGAATTACCCAGAGGGTAGTAAAACCACAGCTTGCTGGGCTCATCCCCAGAGGTTTTGATTCAGTAAGTCTAGGGTGCACCCTAAGAGTATGCATTTCTAACAAGTAGTCTGCTGGTCCAGGGACATTTTTTTTTTTTTTTTTTAGACTAAGTCTCATTCTGTCACCCAGGCTGGAGTGCAGTGGTACAATTTCAGCTCACTGCAACCTCCGCCTCACAGGATCATGCGATTCTCCTGCTTCAGTCTCCTGAATAGCTGGGATTACAGGAGTGGACCACCACACGTGGCTAGTACGTGTGTGTGTTTAATAGAGACGGAGTTTTACCAGGCTGGTCTTGAACTCCTGACCTCAAGTGATCCACCCCCGTCAGCCTCCCAAAGTGCTGGGATTATGGGTGTGAGCCATGGCACCTAACTACTTGATTCCATGCTTGTAACTTCCACTTGACTGCGAGTGTCTTGAGATCAGGAAGCATTTCTCACACATCTCATCCCCAGGGTCTAGCAATGTTGAGCAGTCATTCAATCAACAAATATTTAAGGAATGCCTACTGTATGCCAGGCACTGTTCTAGACACTGGGGTTCAGCGGGCACACACACACACACACGCACCTCCCTGCCCTCAGAGACTTCACCTGAAGCTACACAGTAAACTGTCAATGATTATTTATTGAAATCTGACCAGTTGTACAGAAAAAAAAAAATGACATTATCACGACTCTCTTAATAGTACTGTGGAAATACCAAATTTTCCCTTTCTAAACACAGGTTTTTCCCATTTATATGCTTCTTCCTCTCATATCCCATCTCAACACCCAACACACAAATCCACACACCTGGCAGTATGCCAGGCTTTTGGGTCTTACAAATTATTTGCTGACTGATTTATAAAATGTTTGGTGTACTTGACATGTTAGTAAGAAATAACAAATCCAAGAGCTGAAGCACGAGAGTTAATATAATAAAGCAATTTTGAGGTAAGCAATCTCAGTGTGTTTATACTGATAAGAATATCTCAACTCGTGGTTTTCAAACTAGCCTTAGTTACCTCTAAGTGTACCTTGCCTCTTCTCCCGCCCTATCCCATGCCCTCCATCTGTGTAGTGCTTACGGCAGTTCTTGGCTGCCTGGTATGATGACTCTGAACTCCCCATGGACCGACACAGGCTGCAGTCATAGCCCTGGCATGAAACATTTGGATAGTCTTGTGTGTAATTCTGAGAAACTGTTATGAAGCCCAGTGAGGCCATGTGATATCATGGAAAGGCAGGGAACAAAAGCAGAGGCAAACCTGACCACACAGAACCAGCGAGCCGTTTCTCATGAAGTACCCCAGGCCACTCCCTCTCTAACCTAGGAGAGAACAGAACATGTACCTTCATTTTTGGAATTGATTTTCTGAAAGTTTTTTTAGCAAATAAGAATGTGAGAAATCACAGAGAGCAATCTGGAATAGCTGAAATGACCACACTTTCAAGACTTTCAGTATTTATTCTTGAGGTTTGCAAATGTTTTTAAAAGGCTCTTCCCTTTTAAGATCAAAGCCATGAGACAACCTGTGCTAATTATATGGAGGGGAAGATTATATGCGAAGCAGCATTTATTAATGGAATTCTAGGAAGGTTAGTTTCAATATCTCAGACTCAAATATTTCTTCTCTGTTAACATCATAACCAAATTTGAGGTTCACTGTTAGTGATTTCAAGAGTCAGTGATCAAGCAGCAACACTGTATCAGATAACACTCTCTTCCTCTTGCTACCCAAACTCTGTGATAAACAGGATCACAGTCCAACACATTATTGTAATTCTACATATGAAAATATTTAAGAAAAATTAACATTTACAAAATATACTTTAAAAATGGTGACCAAGTCCACTAACTTTATTTTTATGAGTGAGTCCTAATTAAGTAAATTCTGATTACTAGAAAGCTTTGGGTATAAATGTGACCTTTTGGTTTGCTATACACTGACTCTTTTTTTTTTTGGGACGGAGTTTCGCTCTTGTTACCCAGGCTGGAGTGCAATGGCGCGATCTCGGCTCACCGCAACCTCTGCTTCCTGGGTTCAGGCAATTCTCCTGCCTCAGCCTCCTGAGTAGCTGGGATTACAGGCACGCGCCACCATGCCCAGCTAATTATCTGTATTTTTAGTAGAGACAGGGTTTCACCATCTTGACCAGGATGGTCTCGATCTCTTGACCTCGTGATCCACCCGCCTCGGCCTCCCAAAGTGCTGGGATTACAGGCTTGAGCCACCGCGCCCGGCCTACACTGACTCTTAAAAGATGATACTTTTGTTTCCCTAGAACAGTTTACTAACTGTCACTCTTGTAATTCAAAAGAATTAATATTTCTCAAAAGGTGTGTGATTCCCTGCAGAGGCGTGACCTCCTGTGAAGCAGACCCTTTCAAATTGGCTAATATAAAGTCAAGATAAATAGAAATCAGTCCCTACTTGTGATTACATTTGTTTAAGTTATTGCTCCCTCATTTTGTGTAATAAAATAACACACTGCTACATTATGGAAAACCCACACATAAATCTAAAATACAAATATTCTGATTAACACCATTTGTATCCTAGAAATAAATTAGTTTCCTTAAAAAATGCTTTTCAATTATTCACAAAATCCATCCTTATTTTCTGAATGAACAAGGCTGAATTTTAGAAGTGCAATGAAAGTTCTTGAGGCTCCCCTGAAGTGTAGACAGGCCTTCTTAGTGGATTCCGAGGCGCAGCTTCTTGTCCTGGTGCTGCTCTTCCTTCTGTGGGACGGATCTCAACACACCGTCTAGCATTGAGAATAACGCTAGGTCAGGACAGCTTCATTTCAAACCCATGGGCACTTGTTTCAGCCTTATAGGTTGTAAGAGCAAAAGAATGCTTAAGTTAAAGTAACTGTTACTTTATTTTATCTTTGGATTCTTAATTGTTAGAGAATTGAATCTCTCAGGCAATATGGAATCTGGCTTTCAAAAACTGGATTCACATTGGGCGGGTGCAATGGCTCACATCTGTAATTCCAACACTTTTGGAGGCAGAGGAGGGAGGATAACTTGAGCTCAGGAGTTTAAGACCAGCCTGGGCACCACAGAGAGACTCCATCTCTACAATTTAAAAAAAAAAAAACAAAAAACAGGTGTGGTGGTGCACGCCTGTAGGCCTAGCTACTTGGAAGGCTAAGGTGGGAGGATTGTTTGAGCCCAGAGAGGTGAAGGCTGTGGTAAGCCGTGATTGTGCCACTGCACTCCAGCCTGGGTGACGCAGCAAGATCCTGTCTCAAAAAAAAGCAAAAACAAAAACTAAATTCATTCAACAGTGTATGGCAAATAATTCACAACACTTTGTTTTATGTTTTGGGTGGGGGGAAGTCCTATTACTAGGCTGGAAGAAACAAAATGTATCTCCTAAGGGAGGAAGGGACTGTGTGGGACAGGGAGAATCTGCAGACTGGAAGGAAGATGGACTTATATCTGATGGGGCAGGCTGGGAAAAGAGTCTGGCTTCAACCTTTTCCTGGGTTTTGTTTTTAATATCTTAATTTGTACAATAAATGATGCATGTTTAAAGTATACAATAAACTAAATATATTTAAAGTGTATAGTTTGATGAATTCTTTTTATTTACTTTTTAATTTGTAATATATGTACAGATGGGGGGTCTCAGTCTGTTACCCAAACTGGTCATGAACTCCTGGCCTCAAACAATCCTCCCACCTCAGCCTGCCAAAATAATGGGATTATAGGCAGGAGCCATTTTGCTCAGTCCAGTTTCTTGATTTCTGACATAAGTACACATTCATGAAACCATCCCCACAGTCAAGACAATGAACATATCTACCACCTGCAAAAGCTTCCTTCTGCCCTTTCTTCCCATATTTTGAAGGATTTTCAGCCCCAGGCCTGTGTGTTTTCCCCTGCTGTTTCCTTGTCCTAAGGACACCTAGGCCAGGGCTCTGATTTGCCTTCCAGAGGTAGATCTGGAAAGCCATCCCTTTCTTTCTCTCTCTCTCTCTTCATATTATGTAATATTTGAAACATTCTCTCTCTACATATATTATGTAATATATAACAATATATACATAATACAGATGGGAATTCTCAAGGCTAACAATAAATGAACACTCATGAACTTACTGCCCCAAAAAGTTAAATCTTGCTTAAAGCTGAATAAAACTACATGATGTGTGTGTGCGCGGGGGAATGGAAAAGAAAGAAAACATATTATTCAATCCAACAACTAGAACATTACCAATTCCCATGCACTCCCTCTCTCATCCCATCCCTTTCACCCCATTCAGAGGCAACTCCTATCTTGATTTCTGTGTTTATCAATCCATTGCTTCTTAACAATAATTTTACTATATATAGTATATAGTAAAATATATACCATATATTAAAGTGTGTATATATATATGTGTGTGTGTGTGTATATATATACAGAGTTTTTTTTTTTTTTTGAACAGGGTCTGTCTGCGTCACCCAGGCTGGAGTGCAGTGGCGTGATCTCAGCTCACTTCAGCCTCAACCTCCTGGGCTCAGGTGATCCTCCTATATCAGCCCTGGGGTAGCTGTGACTACAGACACAGGCCACCATGCCCAACTAATTTTTTGTGTTTTTTGTAGAGATGGGGTTTTGCTGTGATGCCCAGGCTGGTCTTAAACTCCTAGGCTCAAGCGATTAGCCCACTTTAGCCTCCCAAACTGCTGGGATTATAGGTGTGAGCCACCGTGCCTGGCTTACCACATTTAACCAATATATAATTTGTCTTTTTGAACTTTACACAGAAATTATATCAAAATTCTGTAACTTGCTTTTTTATTCAACATTTATATTTCTAAGACTCATCCATATTGAATAATGTAGCTCTAGTTCATTTATTTTCACTGCTATACAGTAGTTCATTGTGGGAATACACCATAATATTTTTTATCTAATCACCCAAAACAAGCATTTATTTCCAGTTTTTGCCTTTAAGAACAACATAGCAACAAATTCTTTGTCTCTCTGACTCTTATACAACATGCAAGAGTTTCTCTAGGGCATATACTTATAAAAAATGCTACTTCAGTCTGGGTGGGGTGGCTCATGCCTGTAATCCCAGCACTTTGGGGAGCCAAGGGGGGCAGATCACCTGAGGTCAGAAGTTCAAGACCAGCCTGGCCAACGTAGTGAAACCCCATCTCTACTAAAAGAACAAAATTAGCTGTATGTGGTGGTGCACACCTGTAATCCCAGCTACTTGGGAGGTTGAGGCAGGAGAACTGCTTGAATCCAGGAGGTGGAGGTTGCAGCAAGCTGGAATTGTGCCACTGAACTCCATCCTGGGAAACAGAGTGAGACTCTGTCTCAAAACAAACAAACAAACAAACAAACAAAAAGCTACTTCAATGTGATCTTAATTTGCATTTCTCTGACTACTAATAAGTTTAATCATCTTTTCATGTGTTGATTGGATGAACTAAGTTTAGTTCACCTACCTTGCAAGAGACCCAGACCTGCTCTTGGATCCCAGCTTATATGGACATTTGTCTCCAGGGTAGCTCTAGCTATTGTGTTCACTTACTACTGCTCCTCAGATTCCAGCAAAATGTCTTCTTACCTCTGTTTTGTTGTTAGGATATTATTTCCTTTATTTTCTTGAAAGCCCTGTGACTCCTTAAAAATAATGCTTGTTATGGGTTACCTGGGTTCCATTTGTATGGAGTGAAAGGGCACTTGAGAGTTGTCAGTCACACTGCCTGCCTCCCTTCTCTTTTTGTCCCTGCTACTGGCACTGAGAGGGCATCCAGAAGTAGGTCCCCCTCTGGAGTTGGACATATTGATTTAGCCAAAGGTCAAGCCCCAGTCCAGCAACAAAGCTGGTGTTGTAACTTTCATCTGTTGATTCTGGTGTCTATTTCTCAACAGAATAAAAAATTGGCAAGGAATTACATACTGTATGATTCCATTTATATGAAATGGCCAGAATAGACTAATCCATAAAAACTGAAAGAGTGGGTTGGCCAGGGCTGGGGGGAGAGGAGAACGGGGAGTGATTGCAAATGGGCATGAGACTTCTTTCTCAGATAATGAAAATGTTCTGAAATATGTTGTAGTGATGAATGTACAACTCTGTGAATATGCTAAAGAGCAAATTTCTGATATATGAATTACATCTCAATAAAACTATTATATAATTAAAAAGGAGATGGGGATATTGTTTATTGAGATAAAACACTTGTTCAAAAATGCATAAACATAAACTTAACAGTTCAGTTGAACTGCCACAAAGCAAACATATGCAGCCATCATCTGGGTCAATAAATAAAACATTGCCAGCAAACCAGAAGGCTTCCTTTTGTCCCCTCCTTTCAATCTTAGGACTTTAACCACAGCCATGTCTTCCTTTTCCTTAGTGATCAAGAAATAATAAATCCTAGATACAAGCCCTTTGTTGATTATAAGTGGCAAATATCTTCTCATATTCCATGGTTTACCTTTGTACTCTTTTAGTTATATCTTTTTTTTTTTTTAAGGCAGGGTTTCATTCTGTTGCCCAGGTTGGAGTACAGTGATGCAAGCATGAATTGCTATGGACTCAACCTCTCCATGCTCAAGAGATCCTTCCACCTCAGCCTCCTGAGTAACTGGGACCAAAGGCATGTGCCGCCACACTTGGCTAATTTTTGTATTTTTTGTAGAGAGAGTGTTTCACCACATTGCCCAGGCTGGTCTCAAACTCCTGGGCTCAAGCAATTCACCCACCTCAGCCTTCCAAACTGCTGGGATTACAGGTGTAAGCCACCACACTGGCCTAGTTATATCTTTTAATGAACAGATGTTCTTCCTTGTAACATAGATAAATCAACCTTTTTATGATTTGTGCTTTTTGTATCCTTTCCCTAACGTAGGAAATGATTTATTGGCCCCTTCAAACACTGCCATTGGATACACATTATTTAATCAGATAGATAGATAGATAGATAGACAGACAGACAGACACCTACAGTCTTTTTTCCCTGATTAATTTTTAAAAAGAAAGATACAGTGGATATATACTTTTTTCCAAATTGCAAACAATACATTTTCTATTTGAATAAAATAAAGCTAATTCAGAACACAATCAATATATTCACAGAGAAATTATTCTGAGGCCTTTATATTTCTCGATTTTTCAAGGTTAAAAAAGTTATCAAAAAATTACAGTAAACTTCCAATTACAGTAAACTTCCATTTAGAATCCAAATAATTAGATAATACTGTTTTATTTTTAATTTTTGAAACAGAGTTTTACTCTGTTGCCCAGCCTGCAATGCAGTGGCACTATCTCAGCTCACTGCAACCTCCGCCTCCTGGGTTCCAGCGAGTCTCTTGACTCAAACTCCCAAGTAGCTGGGATTACAGGCGTGTGCCATGATGCCTGGCTGTTTTTTGTATTTTTAGTGGAGATGGGGTTTCACCATGTTGGCCAGGCTGGTCTCAAACTCCTGACTTCAAATGATCTGCCTGCCTTGGCCTCCCAAAGTCTGGGATTATAGGTGTGAGCCACTGTGCCTGGCCTATAGTTACTATTTTAAAATAATATTGTATAGCACTCATGTCTAAAATTATGTGCCTAAGAAACTGTAAGACTTCTCAAAGATTATATTACATTCAAAATATCTGTAGTAGTGTACAAATAATAAAGCTTTGAAGATTAGTAATTAATTATGGTAGCTGTGATGATTCTTAGTTAATCAGATAATTCAAGTAACCAGAACATTTCCAATGTAGGCAAATGAGGCTTTACTCTAGAAGAATGTATATATCCTCATCATTTGGTCCCAGATCCATCTGTACTAATTATACATATTTTTCCTTTCTCACTCCCCAGTAAGCTTCTGCTTTGTTATAGAAGAGCATTGTTGCGTACTGTTTCATATACATTTAATTTATAAAGTCAATTTGTATGTAATTATTTGTATTAACTTGTAGATTCTATAGTAGCAAGTATTAATCGGCACTTTCCATAGCACCTAGCATATGGTAGACACACAAATGTTAATGAACAAATTGAATGGCAAAAATCTAATCTGCAAAAATAAAATGCTCCATCTGTTAACACAACAATTTTCATCACCTGATTATTAAAATTCACTATATCTCCTTTCTCCTCAGCAACAAAGTTCACCTCAATACATAAATACTTACTTTCTCTCCTTTCAGGCTCATTTTGTTCAAGACCATAAGCTCCTGATGGATTCAGCTGCCACTGTAAGAGCGCACAAACATTTTACTTACTTGTTTAAAAAGGATGAATACATAGCATTTCAGCACATTGATTTTAAATATCAAAACAACTTCTTAAAAATTGAAGAAAAATGGCTAGGCGAGGTGGCTCACGTAATACCAACACTTTGAGAGGCCAAGGCAAGCAGATCACCTGAGATGAGGAGTTCAAGACCAGTCTGGCCAACATGTTGAAACCCCGTCTCTAATAAAAACACAAAAATTAGCAGGGCATGTTAGTGCAGGCCTGTAGTTCCAGCTACTTGGGAGACTAAGGCAGGAGAATAGCTTGAACCTGGCAGGCAGAGGTTGCAGTGAGCCGAGATTGCACCAATGCATTTCAACCTGGGCAATTAGTTAAACTCCATCTCAAAATAAATAAATAAATTTATATTTTTTCCTGATCATTCTCATGAGAAATGTGTGTGTGTTTGTGTGTATGTGCACCTCCCTTTTGTGGTGGACGGGGTAACCTTTAAACTATTGAAGGTGTTCCCAACCCCCTGGCAGCAACCAGTACTGGTCCATGGCTTGTTAGGAACTGGCCGCACAGCAGCAGGTGAGTGCAGGCGAGTGAGCATTACCACCTGAGCTCCACCTCCTATCAGATGAGCAGTGGCATTAGATTCTCTAGGAGCAGAACCCTACTGCGAACTGTTCACTTGAGGGATCTAGGCTGCATGCTCCTTATGAGAATCTATTGCCTGATGATCTGAGATGGAACAGTTTCATCCCCAAACCATCACCCCATCTGTGGAAAAACTGTCTTCCACAAAACCAGTCTCTGGTGCCAAAAAGGCTGGGGAAGGCTGAGTTATTTTCACCTCTACCCACCACTCTAAGCCAGAAAGGAGAAAGAAGAGGTGGGTCAGAGATTTTTCTTTTATCAGCCACCAGATGGCACCAAAGAATCCACTGGCTCAGTTCTCTATAGAGATGTAAATTCATATGGCAGGAATTCTTAGCTGAATAGTTGCAGTTAGGTAAAGAATTGCACATATAAATAAACTCAATAATAATTAATTTGTTGAAACTTGGCTGGGCATGGTAGCTCACATCTGTAATCCCAGCACTTTGGGAGACTGAGGCTGACCGATGACCTGAGGTCAGGAGTTTGAGACCGGCCTGGACAACATGGCGAAACCCTGTCTCTATTAAAAACACAAAAATTAGCCAAGCGTGATGGCAGGCGCCTGTAATCCCAGCTACTCAGGAGGCTAAGGCAGGAGAATCACTTGAACCCGAGAGGAGGAGGTTGCGGTGAGCTGAGATCAGCTACTGCACTCCAGCCTGGGCGACAGAGAGAGACTCTGTCTCAAATAATAATATTAAATTTAATAATTATTATTATTATTTGAAACTCTTTAAAAGGGTGGGAATAACTAACTTAAAATATGCAGCAGGGTACCTAACAACATAATACAAAATACATCTGAAAAAAATGTGTATCTACTTACCGTAAATTTGCTAACACCTTCAAGTTCCCCGAATCTCATGTAAGAGATATCTGCCTTCTTTTTTCCAACATCTACATCTCCTGCATATATTTGTTTTATGCCTGCACCTTTAATTAAAGGTACACACTCATCACATGGGCATTTTGTCACAAAAATCATGCTTCTTTCTTCTGGTTTTATTTCTTGACACCTATTAAAAAATTATAAAATATTAGAAAACTTCCTTCTGAAAGGGTAAGTTATTTTTTAGAAAAATCTTTAAACACTAAAATTGAGCTGTACAGATTTATGCCATTATTAATAATCATCAAGCCTTAGACTTGCTGAATTACTGAATATTCAAAATATGTAAACCCATAAAAATGTTATAAATACAACCTGACATGAAACTTATAACTAAAAATAATTTATTGATTCTAAGTAAGAGGTTCAGTTTCAGATTACAAAGTAAATGAAATCAGAAAGATACGGACACCAAGGAAAGACAAAGAAAGAGAGAGGAACTCCCCGATGCTAAATACCTCTTTAGAATACTGGGATTAGATTAGAAACTGACGCCCTCCTTGCTAATGATGTCTGATTAGACACTAGCTCATCCTGATAGACAAAAGACACAACACTATCTGGTACTTGGTGGATATTCAATAAATGTTTACTAAATGAATAATTTAATATTTAAATTCTGTTTTGACTTATAGTTCCCTTACTCCTTCCCTATCATGGGATAATTTTAAAAAGTTTCTATTTGACATATTTGTACCTCCGCACAAAATGGATCAAGTAAATCTGTAATGACGAGGACAAGGAAAAGAATAGAGGAAAATTTGGGTGAAATTTTAAGACTAAGGACTGCTCTTATCTGGGGCTACAAGGACTGACATCTGGGTTCCGAGATTTATGCTGCTCTCAGCCAGCCATTTTCAGTTCCCCCACTGCCAGTCTTCCATATCCACCTTTCTTGTTGAGACTCTTATTTACGTTCAACTGGACTATGGCAAAATAATTTTATGCATCTAATCTGTACAAACAATACACCTACCACCTGCATAATCTAAAGAGTGTTGCTATGTCAATGCCATTCCATTTCCCCACTGCCTACCACATGGAGCATAAAGTCCTCTCGAGTCCAGTCCCAGCCTGTCCTTGTGAGCTGCATTTCCCGTGTCCACATTCCAGTCTAACTGGAATATTCACACTCCTAAACACACCACAGATTTTCCTACTTCTAGACCACTGCTTATGCTAGAAGAAAGGATGGTCTTCCCTTCCCTTCCAATTGCCCCAGTCCTAGCAATCCTTTAAAGCTCAGCTCAGATGTCAGTTCTTCCATAAAGCCTTTCCCTTGCACTCTCACACTTGTCCACAGCAGCGCCTGAATGTCCACAGCACTTTACATTTGCCCCTCCCACAGAATCCACAGTATGCGGTAGATGCCGTTTCATATCCTCTGCTGCATTAGAAGCCCTCCAAGGACAGGAGTCATGTCTTATACAGTTTTTTAATCCCTTAACCTTAATGGTAAAGGCTGAGAAGTGTTTGTAAAAATGATGTAAATTAACAGCTATTACTTTAACAAAAGCCCTTTTAAAGCAATTTGGTTTATTATAAAGTCTATAGACAGTCCTATACTGAATACTGCAGGCCATTGTAATAAATGGTAAGTATCTAAACATAAAAAATGTAATGTGTGATGTTATAATGGCTACTTCACTCAATAACAGGAATTTTTCAGCTCCATTATAATCTTGTGGGAACACTGTTGTGCATGTAGTCCATCGTTGGTCAAAATGTCTTTATGCGGCACGCAACTGTATTAACAAATATGTGCTCCAGATTTAGAAAACAAAGGAGGTCTTAACATCCAGAGAAATAGGAGAACCTGAACAAGATCCCAAAGGACAAACTTCAAGCAGTTTCATATTGGAGACAGGGAAGGAAAAAAAAAAACATGCTCAATAAATGGGAAGGCCTGCAGAGGCGATGATCTCAGGTCAGGATATAGCTTCAGGTCTGGCAGTGAGGACCAAGCTTTACCAAAGTTATACTTCTGAAAGGAAACTTTCTTGGAATTTGAAAAAGGAGATAAATTACAATTAAAGGAAAATAAATTTCAACCAACCCTTGCTACATTTTAAAGAAAAGTACACCTAGAAGAATTTCATACCTAAATGTCAAGGCATTCTGTTCCGCATGTATGATGTATCTGAATTTTCTTATTTCTCTGTCTTTCTGCTTGTCATCCATGTGTGGGAAGTCAGCATACTCAGATCCAACAGGAAAAGCATTGTAACCACATCCTACGAAGTACATGGCACCTGTTCCATCACAACTTCTCTAGAGAGTGAGCAAACCAATGGTTAGTCTCAACATTCTGAAAAGGCACTTTGAAATGTATTTTTGAAGCTTGCTATCATACTTTGCATAATAAATACTTATTCAATTTTCTACAATAAACCGAACTATCAAAAATACAATATCAGATCCTCCTACTGCAGTTTGATCTTGTTAAAGCTAAATTCCAAGAAGGCTGACCATCTCTCTAATCTGTAATCTCAAGGAAGTCCTTGGTTTTTGCAATTCATTAAATACTATCTTACTTAACTCACAATTATGTCACTTGATTCGGACATTACTTCCCAAATAAATTATAAGATCCTGGAAAGCAGAAACCATGTTTTATTTGTGCTCTGTGTGGTGCTACTGGTTAACAAGTCAAAAATTTTTAAATACTTTAAACAGAAAATTTCTGTTGTTAGGCTAAAAATGTGCCATTGTGATTTGGTTGAAAAATAAAAAATGCACTTTCATCTTCAGTATTTATTAAGCCTCTGTTATATGCATATTATTATAGAACTTCTTACTTCAGTGGCTCTTTCTTATTTCTCTTGGTCAATGGCATAGTAGTTGTTAATATGAATGGTTTATCAATTATTAGCATGAAATATTTTATCAATAATGTGTTTGTAATAGTTTGGAATATGCTATAAACCTTATTAAATTTCAATACATTATAATTACTCAAGTGATAATATCAACAGACTCAGTACTGTAGCAGCTTCATAAAAATCATGTAATAATGAGCCAAAAAAAGCCTGCAAACAAAATATTATCTCATTAATAAATCTGTTTGAACATTTACTGTCAAACATCATGCTGAGTTTTTAATTTATTTTAATTTATTTTTTGAGACAGGGTCTCACTCTATTGCCCAGGTTTGACTTCCTGGGCTCAAGTGATCCTCCCACCTCAACCTCCCAAGTAGCTGGCACTACAGGTCCACATAACTATGTCTGGCTAATTTTTTCATTTTTTGTAGCGAGGGTGTTGTACCATGATGCTCAGGATTGTCTCGGACTCCTGGGCTCAAGCAATCCCCCCTCCCCAGGCTCCTAAAGTGCTGGGATTACAGGCATGAGCCACTGTGCACGGTCATATTGAGTTTTACAAGCATGATTTCATTTAATCAAATCTTGGAACAACCTAAAGAGTGATAATATTAATATTACTGTTTTACAGATAAGAAAGCTGAGGACAAGAGTGATTTGTTAACTTGTCTAGGGTCACAAAACTAGTAAGTAACATAGCCAGAATTCAAGCCCAGGCTACTTGACTCTAAGCCATGTGTCTTTCCACTTCACATGCTGCCTGCCAGCCTACTCCAGAGATAACTAGAAACTGACATTCTCCACAAAGTCATTAAGAACCAGATGTTAAGCCAAAAGGCTACTGAGCATTCACATAAACACAAACGAGAGTTCCAACCACCAGCTGGACCCGTGCTAGGTGCTGGAATACAGCTGCAAACAAGACAGAGTCCCTACCCTCATGAACTTTCTAGTCTGGGGGTAAGAAATTGGACAGATAACTTTAACTGTGATAAATGTCACAGACAAGTTGTACAAAGTGCTATGGAATTTCTGACAGAGGAGCCTAGTATTCTAGTAGGAGTTAACAGTTGACGTAGAAGTAAGTAGAGTCAAGAGGTATTTTGAAGGTGGAATCCATTGTGCTAGGTGATTGTATGTGTACAGTAACAGACAAGATGGTGACCACTGACGAAGGAGTAGGTTAGCAGGGAAGATACTGGATGGGTTGAACTTGAGGGGTTTATGAAACATCAAAGCAAATTGTTGGATTAATTTCTGTGAAGTCCTTGAGGCAAAATGTAGACTTGCCTTTCAGTCAGCTATATAGTTACTAAATATCTCTTGATTCTAGCCCTCCTAATCCATTCCCATAACTCCAAGTCATCTCTTTTTTATTAATCTCTCTTTCCTGTCTAGCTCTATTTCATTCTATTTATAATACAAATCTGATCAAATCATTTCCCCACCTACAATATTCTTGGATTGCACTGTCCAATACAGTCACCACTAGCCACATGTGGTTAGACTAGATTGACAGGTGCTGCAGGTGTAAAATACACATAAAATTTTGAAGATGTAATACCTTAAAAATTCAGGATATTTCATTAATAACTTTTTATTGATTATATGATTAAATAAAATATTTTCTTAAAATTAATTCATCTGTTTTACTTTTAAAAATATGGCTCCTAGAAAATTTAAAATTTGGTTTGAGGCTTGCCTTTTCTCTCTACTAGTTAGTGCTGTGCTATAATATGTCACTGTCAGGATAAAGTCCAGAATCTTTACATGGGATATAGAGTTCTTTGTAGTCCAGTCCAATTTGTTGCTTACTCTATGTGCCACATCAAATACATTTTCCCATATTCTCTCTCTCACCCCCCATCTCTGGATGTTATCCTCCTGGTCCCATTAAATTGCTCTGTCTGATGATATCCTCCTAATCTTTAAGAATATTAACATTATTAATATTAAGAATATTCAGGTCAGGCATGGTGGCTTACACCTGTAATCACAGCACTTTGGGAGGCCAAGGAGGGTGGATTGCTTGAGGCCAGGAGTTCAAGACCAGCCTGGCCAACATGGCAAAATCCCGTCTCTACTAAAAATACAAAAATTAGCCAGGTGTAGTAGTACATGCCTGTAGTTCCAGCTATTCAAGAGGTTGAGGCATGAGAATTGCCTGAACCCAGGAGGCAGAGGTTGCAGTGAGCCAGGACTACACCACTGAGCTCTAGCTTGGTTGACAGAGGGAGACTCTATCCCAATAAAAAAAGAATATTCACCAAAAACATTCATGTTATCCTCCTGGTCCTATTAAATTGCTCTGTCTGATGAAATTTTCTTACTCTGCAAAAATATTATTAACATTAATAATATTCATCAAGAATATTTACTCATTTCTCTAAAGAGAATAAAGGTTCCTCCTCTATGTTCTCATGGTATCAGTTATAAATACACTTACGTATCAGTTATTTTTTACTTCTCCGTCTCCATCACTAAGCTATGATGCCATAAAATATGATCTTTAATCCCCAATGTTCACTGTGACACAGTGCCTAACCTGTAGAAAGTGTTTTAACAAATGTTTGCTGAATGAATGCGTCTATCTAGAAAATTGTTGAAGAAATGAGCAAGTGTTTATAAAACTTAATAAATGCACCATTATAAAAAAATGTGTCTTAATGGGTCAATAACATGTAATGCACTGAACACTAAACTATGCTTAAACAATCCAGGTTAAATATTTAAAGAATTGTTTTCATACTTACAGATTTTCCTTCTGCCCAAATGACTGCCCCAACTCCTGTTTTATGATCCTCTGAAAGATACATGGCATTTAACTCAGTAAAAATGATGATGTTAGTTTTAGAAATATTTTTTTCAAAAATAAAAATTTGTATTGCAACATACTTCATAAATGTAGGAGCAATTCTTGATATCTTCACTAATTACAGATAATTATTATTATTAAACTCTTTTAAGTATGGAATATGGGAGCTAGGTACCAAATAACTAGAGAGAGTCACTACCAACCCAGTCACACGTGATACATGTGTGGAGGCCACTAAATGGCCGTGTCCACAGTCAGGTGTCTCAAAGCTGTAGCCAGAACTAAGTGCAACTTCATTGATTCTCCATTAGCAAGCCGATTTCTAAATGACTACTTCTGATAGATGATAAAATTGAATAAAGGTTTCAGAACTAATGGATTTTGTGTAATAACTGTTCACAATAATCAAATTTGTCTTTCCCCAGCATTATTTATACTCTAATCATGGAAAATACATCTTATAAAAATGTTCTTGCTAAGAAAAAAGTTCAAACTTCTCATATAAACATAAACAAATCTTTATGGATCTATCTATCACTAGAAAGTATATGAAGAAAATTCTGATTTAAACAAAATGTTGTCCTTTCCCTGACCTTCAGTTTACCTTGAGGGAAAAAGAATGCAAGTTAATGACATCTTGCCCATTTCTAAATCAAATAGCAGAAGTTATAAACAAACATAAGATTATAATTTCCCTGTAGAACCAAAACCTTTGCAACAAGCAAAGCTGTACTTCTTAAAACCATTAATCTGAAACAGAAAATAAAAAACCAAAATAGAAATTCTACATATTAAAGTTTTAATTTTTCCCCGTATACAATGTTGGGTTTCAAATTTCTAAGACAAATCACACTAATTATGAAAACCATAGTATTTCTCAAAATCTTAAGGTAGTTAAGTGGCACATTTACACAGAGAAAATAACAATTATCTGTGAACTCACCCTAGGGCATTTTCATTTTGGGGTGGATGAAGTGAAACTGTGGTTTCACCCTACAATTTCCTAAAAGTGAATCCTTCCAATGACAACATTTTTAAATACCTACTTTCCAGTAAAGGTACAAAGAAAATTTGTGCCACAATTGATTAGAATAAATGCCTTATTAAGAAGTTAACTTTAAAATAGTTGATACTCTAAAAAAATTTCCAATCTCAAATTCTAGCAAACTGTGTGTTTCAAAAATTACACCACAAAGCACTTGTACAATTTATGTTAAACATCTCATTTTTACCCTAAAGGTAAAGCAGGTAAAATTTCCATTTCTAGATGCAGAAACAGGCAGAGAAGTAGACTAAAACTTAGCCCTGCAGAGCCAACCTGCTTGGCCTTTCCTCCAAATTGCCCTGTGACATAAAGAATTCCTTGATACAGCCTGGCCAACGTGGTGAAACCCCGTCTCTACTGAAAATACAAAAATTAGCTGGGTGTGGTGGCGGATGCCTGTAATCTCAGCTACTTGGGAAGCTGAGGCAGGAGAATTGCTTGAATCTGGGAGGTGGAGGTTGCAGTGAGTTGGGATGGTACCAATGCATTCTAGTTTGGGGGACAGAGAAGGACTCCTTGACAAAGATTTCCATTTATTGAATGCCTCTTATGTGCCAAGTACTGTGAGAACTGAGGATGCAGTGGTGAGGGAAACTGTAGTCCCTTCCTCATACAACTTACAGTTGGATGGTGAAGGAGAACAGCAACAAGAAAATAAACAGTACTTTATGTGCTGTGCTCCGAAGCAAATGAACAAGGCTGAATGGCAGAGTGCACAGGATGACTTCCTTCTATAGAATAGAGGGAAAAGGGATGTTAGAGTAAACAAAATTGAGTTCCTTCCTAAGCCTTTAGAGTTTAACATGAGTGGGCAAGAATCAATGGCTTTATTCTCATTTCTAAGGTAAGTGGCAGAAGTTATAAACATAAGATTATATTTGCCTGCAAAACCAAAATCTTTAAAGTTTTATTTATGTATAACTCTAAAATAATTAAAAGCCAGAATAAAAATTCTCCATATTAAGAGCCCCCTTTTCTACCATCTATGCTGCGTATTTTTAATGTTATGTTTCTTAGTCTCAGAAGCCACTTTTTCTGTTTCAGCCTGGGGACAGACTAAATCTTGTTAGGAGGAAAAAAAAATGTGCTTTTTCCATGAGCATGCAGCTCTACTGCCTAGCTAAGGTTGGTTACATCAATAGAACATTCTTTACTATTTGTCTTTTCAAATACGAATAAATTTTCATCCACATAAAACAGATTTGATATCATCCAGCACCAAGGCTGGTGATAGGTGAGGAACTTTCTCAAAAATCTTTTCATATCTGTAATTTTTGCAGAAATTGCTCCCCATGATCTGGTCATTCACAGGGTTTTTTCTGCACAACTTTGAAGGAAAGGTCAAGTTACAATCACTGAGTCAAATTCCCGGGGCTCTTTGATCACTGAAACTCAAAGGGAACTCTTTGTTCTGGAACACAGGTGTGGTTATTTTAGTTCCAAATCCTTGTGGCCAACTACTCTTGAGAGGCAGACAAGGCTTAGGAATCTGCATTTCTCCTGATCTCCCCGTTGATTCTCAGGCACATTCAAATCTGAGAACCACTGGGTCTGTTTTAAAAGTTAACTTTCGTGATTACTCCATCCTGCTTTCATCATTACTGTGGTCCAGGAGAAAGGCATAATCCTTAGCTTTGGAAAACACCTAATCTGATGAGAAAACAGGACACAAAAAGATCACAGCTCAGTACTTAAACCAGATAGATGTGATGCCTTCCTGCTCTTTTCCCCACAAGAGTCTAAACACTTTTTTTTCACTTTTTTTGCTACCACCAGGGATTTTAGAAACATACTTTTGGAACTCCCGGCCTCAAGCAGTCCTCCTGCCGCAGTCTCCCAGTCCTGGTGTTACAGGTAGGAGCCACCGCACCTGTCTAGAAACATACTTTTCATGACACCTCTATGGATCCTTTCTATTTATCATTCAAAAAGCAATTATAAGCAACTACTTCCATTTTAGAACTGCTGTTAGAAGTTTTGGAATTCATTTTAATCATATGTACATTTTTAAATGAAATGGTATTTTCATCTATTAATTACAGAGAAATGACGTCATCAACCCAAACTGAAAAATGTGAAATTAAAAGCTTGAGTAATTGAAAGCACACTGTAACACAGGGATATCCACCTTGCTGGAGTACCCTCAATGTTAAACGAGATACATATATAAATCACCAAGCTCAGTACCTGACACATAGTAGTGTTCCATAAACTGTCATTGTTATTATTTATCAACAATGAAGAATTACAGGTCCAGAGTCCCTGATCCGAAATCTCTTACATCAAGTTTTTTTGAAGTTTGATGCCCTTATTTATTGCCAAATCTGACTCAAATTTAGTTATTTATAGACCAGTTATTCTGCTTAGTGCAAATATTCCTACTTTTTCACTCTGCATGTATTAATGTGTTTGATTACAGGGAACTGTCCTAGACCCCAGTGGGAGTGCTACATAACAGTATATGTACCGTATTACCTTTTTAAAATCTGGAAATGGGCATGGTGGCTCATGCTTGTAATCCCAGCACTTTGGGAGGCTGAGGCAGAAAGATTGCTTAAGCCAAGGAGTTTGAGACCAGCCTGGGCAACACAGTGAGACACCTCTACAAAAAATAAAAAACTGATTGGACATGGTGGCCTTTGCCTGTAGTACCAACTACTCAGGAGGCCAATGTGGGAGGATTGCTTGAGCCAGAGAGGTTGAGGGCTGCAATGAGCCATGAGTGCCACTGCACTCAGCCTGGGCAACAGAGTAAAACCTTATGTCAAAAACATAATATAATAAAATCTCAAAAATTCCGAATTCCTTTTCATCTGGCTCCAAAGGTTTTGCATAAGGGATAGCGGACCCTTTATCTTTGGATATAAAAAGATTTATTTTATCCAGTTAACACACATTGTGTTTCATGCTAAGGAAAAATGATTAAGACATGATTTCTTCCCTGGGAGAGTGCACAGTGGAGTGGAGTGAGTGACAGAGGAGTTGCATCCTATTCAAGATTTGAGTTCCATGTAAAAAAAAAATCACCAACAATTAACCTTGAAAAATCTTTTAGAGTGCCCATCAAGTGCATAAGGAGGGCTTTATGTACAAATTTCTGCACAATAGTAGATATATTTATAATATAAAATATAACTATACAGTAGAGTATCTAATAAAGACTATAAATGCAAATGTATACATACTGCATCTTTAAACACTGGAGTCACAGCTGGTATGATGAGGTGTTCTATGAGAAGCAAGAGGTAATAAGATCCAGTAAAACAGCAGATTCACATCTCCCTCTTACTCTGGAACACAGGCAGGGTTCTGCTGAATTCTAATTAGTGAAGGGTAATTAGTGAATCATAGCTACAACAGCTGTTCCCATTTATGTTTTCTGTCTTTTTGAATGGTTTACAGAAAAATTCTTTACAAAGCTGGAGTTGGCAAAGAAACTAATATATAAACCACAATAGGAGATAATTATATGAAACCAGATTTTACACAATGCAATTGTTTGGGGTCATATAATGTGTGCCTACAGAATCAAAATCTTTAATAAGAACTGAGCAATTATTAACTCTGCTGAACATCAGAATACCTTGTGGAACTTTTAAAAACACAGACCTTGGCCATATTTGATTAGGGACTTGCTTTAATGGGTCTGGGTTAGGGTTTGAGCATCGGTACTTTTTATAGAAGTTTCAACAGAGATTCTAATTTGCTGCCAGCTGAGAACCTCCCTTCTGCTGACTTTATTTTGACCTGTGGTCTTTGTTTGGAACTACTGCAGACCAGCAGCATCTGCAGAGACCTTTTCTGATGACTTTCTCTTCTTTCTTAGGATAATTTTAAAATTCTACTACAGTACACTCCCCGAACAAATCTTACTCTACTGCTCCTCCTGCTTACATTTTCCCCCTTTATTTCAAAGATGCATTTTAAAAAGTGATCATGATTCTACTTTGAGAAATCTTACATCAGGTAAGATGTGAAAATACTGTTCCATGTTTGGAAATACAGATGCCATGTTTTATAACAAAGAAAAACCTCAAGTAATATTTTTCTTTTCCAAATATACAACTTAATACAGTAAAAATGTTTGATTTCTCAACTTGCTGACTAAAGACATACCAGCAAGTGGAAGACTGCAATAATCACCATTCCTTTACCTTGATTCTATTAGTTATTTTGACATAATGTTATTGTAAAGCTCTTAAATTTTTTTTGTTAATATTCAATATATCAAAATATTGAAGAGTTAACAAAAATGAATGATTTTGCCTCTTTTTTTTTTTTTGGCAATAGGGTCTTACTGTCTCTGGAGCTGGAGTAGAGTGCTGCTATTGTAGCTTACTGCAGCCCCAAACTACTGAGCTCAAGCAATCTTCCTGCTTAGTCTCCCAAGTAGGCGGGACTACAGGCACGCACCACCACACAACACCATGCCCAGCTAATTTTCTGTATTTTTTGTTAGTCAGGGTCTTGCTATGTTGCCCACACTGGTCTTGAACTCCTGAGCTCAAGCAATGCTCCTGTCTCAGCCTCCTGAAGTGTTGGGATTACAGGCATGAACCACTGCACTGGGCCTCTCCTTTCTCTTTTTGTCCTATCTTTAGTGGAGGGCTCAATGAACAGTGAAATCATAAAAGCAAGAAGCAGAAAGAAGGGCCTAGATTAATGCATTGTGTTGAAATGTGGTACTGAATATAAGGCCACAAGGAATCCCAAAACTGCTGGAAGAAAGAGTTGTCTACTCAAGGGTCTCACTAACTACTCTATATTGTATGAATAGCAAAACTTTAGTAACTGTGAGTAAATCAACCCTACCATAAATGAGACAAACATTTCAGAGACAAATACAACCCAACCAGTCAGCCCCAATTTATGATCTATGTAACTTACCAGTTCGATATGCCAATAACCTGGCCTGAACCATGCAGTGCCTTGCAATTTCTTGTGGCAAACTTTGATTGTGAATTTCATTAATTTGTTCTGGATTGCTACAGTAAAATCCGAAGTGTTTAAAGTTCGGCACACTGGAAGCTACTGTGGCCAGAAGTAGGATAAGGTCTTTCATGTTTTGCCTTAGATTGCTAAAGTATGGATTTTCACACAGGTTCTCCAGGCCTACAGTCATCAGTATTTGCTTATGCATTTCTTCATTTGAAACCAAAAATATCATTTCATATTCTTTTATTCTTTCTTGTTTACATTCATAATAAAAGTCAGTGTTAGCATCCGGCAATGTTTTTGTAATTTTTTGAATAAAGTCACATTTGTAAGAGGTCTCCTCTACAAACTGCACCATATAACACACCAAAGGTTGAAGTAAGACACACACATGGGCCCGACTATTTGACTTCAATCTTTCCACTGCTTTGGCATCTAACTTTGCATCTTCAGAACTAGAAGCCTCAGTAAGCAAACTTATTTCTGGATCAGCAGGCCAATATGAAATTCGGTTAACTCCAGCTGAAATACAAAATAGGAAAGGTAATTATGTGATACATGTTCAATTTAGGATTTTCATGATAAAATCCATCCTATCATTGCAGTAGATCTAGAGGCCCCAATGTAATAAATGTCTATTACCAAGTCGCCTATTTTTTTTTTTTAAAGACATGTTTCATCACGTTGGTCAGGCTGGTCTTGAACTCCCGACCTCAGGTGATCCGCCCACCTTGGCCTCCAAAGTGCTTGGATTACAGGCGTGAGCCAACATGCCTGGCCCTACAAAGTCACCTATTTTATAGCCTTAGGGTTGGCAAAGTACCACTCACAGACCAAATCCAGTCCACTGCCAGTCTTTGTACCACCCACAGGTTAAGAATGGGTTTTACATGTTAAAATAGTTGGACAAATCAAAAGAATATTTTATGACACATGAAACTGTAAGAAATTCAAATTTCAGTGTCCACGAATCAACCTTTATTGAAACACAGACACACATACCCATTCATTTATATAGTCTTTGGCTGCTATTATGTGGCAGAGTTGAGGAGCTGTGACAGGCACCATATGGCCTGCAAAGCCTAAAATATTTACTATCCGGCCTTTTCAAGAAAAAGTTACCCAGCCTCTAACAGAGCCTCTAGGAATGCCTTTGTGAAATTACTGGTGTTGTGGAGTATGATCCCAAAGCCCAGTGCCAAAACTATATACTCGAAGAGTCCTCCACGGTGCCATGGCTGTTTTTAAAAATGTTACAGGGAATAACTAATATTGCCTAGAGTTTTCTATGTGGAATAAATACTTCCTCCATGCATTAAAAATGTTCCTGTCCACAGATTGAGAATTCTTCTGAGAATCTATTCTAGGAAAATATTCTAAATACAGAGAAGAAATCTCATGCATGCATGTTTAGTGCAGCATTCTTTAAAATAGCAAGAAAAAATGTTAAACAACCAACCAACCAGAACCCAAAACCTAAATGACCAAAATAGGGGAATGGCTGAATTAATTATGGTCCTAATAATAAAAGTTATCAAAAATGTCACAAATAATTTATAACATGAAAAAAATCTTATGTGATATTGGGACGGTGTTTGAAGGGCAATATTAACTTTTTAAAGCTCAGAAAATTAAAGACAAAACAACAAACTAAACAGAACATTTTTCAATCAGTGTGACAGAGGAAAGGTTAGTAATGTTTAATATACAGAAAACATTTCAATTCATTAGAACACATATGAATTGACAATAATAAGGCCTAAAGAGAGACAAAAAGACATGAACAGACAATTTGTAAAAGAGAAAACATAACAGGATAACAAACATGAAAAATATTTTAATTTGTATTTGAAATTGAATGATGAGATGCCTTATACATAGTTAAGCACACAAATGTTTGTCAATTAATGAAGAGTTTACAACAAAGAGACCCCTTTGCTACTATCCCACATAATTTCAAATAGGACAGACTTTTTTGTGATTGTATATGGAAGAAAATAGACCGATAGCCCACAGAGTGTACCTTTCCAAATAATTGATGAACTAAAAAGTCTAAGTTAAACAAATGAACATTCTATCCACTCCCTGGTATTCCTGACTCACTGTGGCTTCTGCTGCAAAGCAATTTTGAAGGCCTCAAAGCTCATATCAGTGTTTCCTCTGGTTGCATTTCACTTTCCCTCTGATCAAGTTCTCATAATCCATTTCCTAACCAGCAGTGATGGTAAACCTTTCATCTAGGTATCTTAGTTGCTCCCAGTAATCCCGATTTAATAAGAGGGGACAAATCCTCTTTAGACAGACATTTGTGTATTAGTGGCAAATGGTAAGGCAGAATTTCTCCAATTTTTTAATCTCAGGATTCATTAACACTCTTAAAAATTATTGAGGACCTCAGAGAGCATGTATTTATGTGGAATATATCTACTAATATTTATTGTACTTAAAAATTAAAATAAAATTTAAAATATTAATTCATGAAAAAATCTATTAACAACAGCTTTATGAAAAAATCTGTTTTCCAAAACAACAAAAATTTTTAAGAATGACATGGTTTTAAATTTTTACAAATATCTTTAATATTTGGCTTAATAGGAGATAGCTAGATGCTCAAATTTGCTTCTGTTTTCAATCTGCTGCAATACACTGTTGTCACTGAAGTATATGAAAATTATCTGGCCTCATGTAGATATGTGGTTGAAAAAGGAGTATTTTAACAGCCATTTCAGATAATTGTGAATATTCTTCTTTGGCATTACATAAAAATTTGACAAGGGATAGTTTCTTAAAGGTTAGTTATAATGTAGAATCTGAAACCATATCAACAAATTGTTTGAACTGTTACGTTAAACTCCATTGGTCTGTCTTGCACTTAGAATGGCTTTTACTCATGCATGATTTTGTAGCATTGTGCATTGGTCATCTGGAAAACAATGATTTCCTGATTTTACAACATTAAAAAAAATCCCGTTAATTAATATTGCCACCAATCCCAGTAAAGAGTCTAAGTGGTGAGATGCTGTCAAGCTCATAATGGAGAATACGAGTTTTCCAAAATTCTAATTTTCACTTGATAGCTCAAATCTTATCACTGGCAACAAATACTGTCAGCTGTTTACCTGAAAGTGACAAGTTCACTATATTTTCTGCCAAATATCCAAGTCTAAATAACCATTGTCAGTTTATGCTGTTCCATTAAAAAAGTAGATAATTCAGTCTGCAACTCAAACAACCACATACATGGTTTTCCTTAAAGCCATCTTCATACCTTAGGTCTGTAGCAAAAGTGCTTTATTCCAACCTCCTGTTTCCTCACACAGAATATTAAAAAGATGCAGACTCAAGTTGGGATTTAATAAAATTAACACTTTTTACTGTTTCATCAAGGACCTTCTTATGTAAAACCAGTTTTCTTGTTTCCCTCTGAGTACAGTGAAAAGTACAATGACTACCAGTGCGGTTTGGCACCACTGTCTTGACTAATGATACAGCAATAGTAGTTTTACCTATCATTGTTTTGGTACCATAGTATGAGTGCAGTGTTCTCGTTTTTGCTTTTTGGGACAGGGTCTCACTCTGTGGCAAGGCTGGAGTGCACTGGTGAGGCACATTCACGGCTCACTGCAACCTTCGCATTCCAGACTCAGGTGATCAACTCACCTCAGCCTCCTGAGTAGCTGGGACTACAGGCGCACACCACCACGCTCAGTTAATTTTCCTATTTTTAGTAGAGACAGGGTTTCTCCAGATTGCCCAGGCTGGTCTCAAACTCCTGGGCTCAAGCAATTCATTTGCTTCAGCCTCACAAAATGTTGGGACTACAGGCATGAGCCACCATGCCCAGCCTGAAAGCAGTGTTATTATGAAAATAACACTGACGTCATGGACCATCAGCAGTCCATAGACCACACTTGGAGAACCACTGTGCTACAACAATCTTTGCCTTGTAACTGAGGAAATAGCAATTCCAACTAAAGTAATTTAGCTATAGCATGGGTTTCAACCATATCCCACTCCCAAGATAACTAAATATGATATATAAGCCTAATATAACATAGCAATTTTGTTTATATGTTGGTCCAACACCAATATACAAGCATTTGCATTGTAGGTCCTTCCTGACTTTCCATACTTCATTATCTCTCTTGTCAGGATGAAATGTCTTAAGACATCAAGCAGTGATGAGTTACTTGTACTCTCCTATTCTTCCCTCTAATTTGTGCCTCCAAGGCTATTAAGAGTGCTTTCAGCACAGTTAGCTCAGCACAAAGCACAACTATCTTTTATTCATTTTTCTCCCTTGACTCTAGAACAGATCAGCCAACAAACGTTTTGGTTCTTTCACATTCTTTCATTTCTGTATCAATGTCACCATCTGAACCCTATTTTATACCTTACCTAATGCAATAGTCTACTAATAAAGCTCCCAATCTCTAATCTCTCCCTGCTCCAATTCAATAACAGCAACAACAAAAATTTCAATCATGTTACATCTTTCTCGAGAATCTTCAGTGGCTCCACATTACCTACAAACAGGAACTGTAGGTCAGTTGAACATGAGTGTTAAAATACATGTCCAATCTGCCTGGTTAGTAGGGAAAAGGAGAAAAAAAATGCCATCACCACTTTCATATTTATCTTCTCAATTCATTGGCAACTGCAGTTGAGAATATAGAATCCAATCCTATACCACAGATACCTACCTGCTTGAAATACTTGTTGCAGGCCAGGAGGTTTCTAGCCACATGACCTATTTTTTCTAGAAGTTCTGCCATTTATAGCTCAAGGCACTGACCTTGACATAGATCTGATCATTACTCTTAAGTCTTTGATATAAATAATAGCTCTTCCTCACAACAGGCCTAGGAACTCTGTTCTATAAGATAAAGTCCACAGGCCCTACAGTTTTTCCAAGTTCTCTAGTATCATTATAGTTCCTCTGCCACTATTCTCTAAAAATAATTCTCCATTTCAAATACTGACTCTAGAACCTTGCTTCTTACAACTTAATGACTCCACATGCACTGCTCCCCCTGACCAGAAATGTGTTCCTCTTCCTCTACCTATGACACACCAAGATCAAGCTTAAGCCTCAGCCTTTCATAATATGGCAATCTGCAGGAATCACTATTTCTCCGCTGAGACCAAGTATCACTTAAAACCTGTATCATTGATTTGGTACTAGATAATGCATCATATTAAATGGTTATTTTGGCCCCCAAATAACACCTTAAAGGAAAATATTAGGAATCACATTAGTTTTTTTTTTTTTTTTTTTTGATCTGCCATGATGGCTATGCACAAGATATATATGTTTTAAATGAAAGAACGGCTGGAATACATAGCTGGGTGTGAAACAGAATCATAAGCACTAAGAGGTTTAGTGAATAGCCTGGTGTGGATGGATAGCTTATACACTAAAATTTTGTGTTCCTCTTTCCAAAGTGTAGAGTAGACACTGAAAGACAGCTGCCCAGTAGGAATTACAGTTCCCACAATGTTTGAGAACAGAAATGATATATGTAACTTCCAGGTCAGAATTTTTAAGAAGCAGGTTTACCCTTTCTACTCATTCTTTCTCAGTCTGCCTCTGGATGCAGAGGACTCAAATCCCCAGAGATGAAAACAGCAATGAGATAGAAGATGTCTAGTCCAGGAATCAACCACATGGAGAAAGCTGTCTGTTGCTTAGCAACACATGCACTGAATTATTATACAGGTGATAAATATCTAGTACATTAAGCCACTGAAATTATGTTTGTCATGTTATAGCAGCTAGCATTAGTCTACTCAAACACTGAGGGACATTTAACAGGTTAGTACACAGGGATGAGACCAGAATCCATGTTTTCTGATGCTTCCGCTTATAATGTATCCAATTGTCTTCAAATATATATTTATATATTTTTAATTTTATTTTATTTTTTAGAGACAGGATCTTGCTTTGTCACCCAGGCTGGAGTGCAATGGAGCCATCATAGCTCACTACAGCCTTGAACTCCCAGGCTTGAGCAATTCTCCTGCCTCAGCCTTCTGAGTAGCTGGGATTATAGGTGCAAGCCATAGCACCTGACTTTCAGATATATAGTTCTAAATTATCTCTGTGGTATCTAACAAATGTGTTCCACTGACTGCTCTCAAATAAATGCTCTTTTTTTCTTTTCTTTTCTTTTTTTTTTTGGAGACAGGGTCTTGTTCTGTCACCCAGGCTACAGTGCAGTGGTGCAATCATGGCTCATTGTATCCTTGACCTCCTGAGCTCAAGAAGTCCTCCCACCTCAGTCTCTAAAGTAGTGGGGACTACAGGCATGCTCCGCTGTGCATGGCTAATTTAGTTTTTGTAGTGATGGGGTCTCCCTATGTTGCACAGGCTATTCTTGAACTCCTGGGCTCAAGTGATCCTCCCGCCTTATCCTCCCAAAGTGCTGGGATGACAGGCATAAACCACAACACCCATCTCAGATAAATGCTCTTAATCTTCAACAAAGCCTTATCTTCACTTACCATTTACAATCATTTTCAAACAAGCAGAACATGGTTTTCTGGAAAAATAAAGATCACAGTTTTTCAGCCTTGACCCGTGTTTAATAAGAGCAATCTGCCCGGCATGTAAATCTTCACTAGAACAGTGGAGACCAACAATTTTCATGTTTTTCACCACCACAAGACCAGTTCTCTTTACCTACATTAAGGTATAAAATAACAACTTATTAGTTATAACACCTAATAATCATATTATGGATTATACTTATTAAAAAATGGAAGTTTTGTTTAGTTCTTTAAACAGTTTATACAAAGCACATTTCTCATTAGATCCAAAAAACTTCTGAAACTTCAGTGTTGACTTTAGACCAGAAATTTTCTAAACCTAGGCTCTACTAATCAAACAATTAAGCATGTAATTATCATTAATTTGTTCTAGTGAAAGATGAATATATTATAACCAAGTAAAGGGTAAGAACTAGGTCAATTTCACCTGTTTCTTATAGCACTGAGTGTAGTACTATTTAGTATTAAGCTTCTAGACGGTAATAAAGAAAAATTTATAAAACCCTGATTTTACACATGGATAAGTAAAGCCCAGAAAGTTTACATGACTTTCTGAAAGACACATAGATGACAAAAGGCAGAACTAAAGCAGAGGTCATCTTAAATTCTAAAATATTTTAAATATTGGCCAAAATAAAGATAATCTTCAACTTCTTTCTAAAAACTACTGGCTGTATCAATTTACAGCACTATGGCAGTCTAGACTACTACAGTTGGGTCCCACCTACTACTACAGATAAATTATAAACATAAAAAGAAGAGAGACATACCATCAGGTGTCAAAAAGGATGAGAGAACTTGATGTCAGAGCAGTGAGCTTGAGCTATCTTAGCAGTATTCCACAGAGCAGGGGACGGCTGAGCCTGATGTAGGCCCTGCAGACGTGGGACTGACTGGGGTTCTAAGCACTTACAGTGGATCTCTTTTAGTGAAGGTTTTGTGTTACTAAACCTAAAGTGTCTCTCAATTTAAGCAAATACTAATCAATGCTGGTATATCAATATCAGATAAATCAGACTAAGGTAAAAAGTCAGTTCTGCATAAGGCACAAAATAGTCTATGCTGCTTTCCCAGCAAAAGCCTCTGAAGTAAGGAATGTAAATCTGATCCCTGGGCTTGGGACTGACTGTTACGTGAAGGGAGCTTGGGCTGAGGAGATGGTGTCCCTAGTTCCCATCCCCTTCCAAAGCGATTTTACCCTATACTTATCTCCAATACAGCATATCTGAAATCATTTAAAGGATTAGACCAAAGCTATATTAACTAAAATAGTCAAGTTTCAGTTTCAGTTCTGAGTATAAATGTTTGAGATTATGGAGAATGATAATTTGTAAAATATCTAAAAAAGGAGGAACAGAAATTTTATGGAGTTCCTTTTTTTTTTTTTTTTTTTTTTTTTGAGACGAAGTCCCACTCTGTGGCCCAGGCTGGAGTGCAGTGGCACAATCTTGGCTCACTGCAACCTCCACCTCCCAGGTTTAGGCAATTCTCTTGCCTCTGCCTCCTGAGTAGCTGGGATTATGGGTGTGTGCCACCATGCCCAGCTAATTTTTATATTTTTAGAAGAGACAAAGTTTCACCATGTTGGTCAGGCTGGTCTCGAACTCCTGACCTCGTGATCCACCCGCTTTGGCCTCCCAAAGTGCTGGGATTACAGGCGTGAGCCACCGCGCCCGGCCGAATTCCATTTCTGAGTTAACCAATCATCTCCTAAACTAGGACATTTAAAAAAGAATACAAAAGTCTTTGCTTTACAAAATATATACCTAAGAATATATGTAAAATATGAAAAAACCTATCTATATTGGCTTTTAAAATAAGCTTTAAATTTACCTTGAATTTGTGAACACATTACCCTCCCTACCAAAATTTCTTGGAGTTTTATGCTTCTTAAATGTGAAGTATATATTATTGATTTCTGAATATTTTCAATAAGTTTATTTTTTAAAAGAGATCATTTTGGAAAAGAAGTAATGTTGCCTCATCAAAAGTTCTTGACAGAGTTCCTGTTGTTAAATTGAGTTCCACTGGTTAACGTGACCAGTGGAAGTGGCTGCAAGGGAATGATTTCAGCTTTATATTTTCCTAGTTAAGCAGACAGAAATAAAGCCAGGAAAAAAAGCTTAAAAATTATTCCTCATAAATGAGAAGAATACTCATCAACTTGTTATTAGAACAATCTTTTGGGTAGAGTTTATCACTTTTTTGTCTAGAGTCCTTTTTACCTCAGAAAATACATATTTTTTCATTTTGCATCTAGGTAAGGCCAAATATCAGGCTTGAGACAAATATTTTTCCATCCCAAACTCAACGGAACAAATAAAAGCTCAAGTTGAATTCCATTTCCACACTTCCATTTACTGCAACTCCCAGAGGACTGAACCTTTTCAGTGAATCACTGCTCTGGATCTGATATTGCTTCACTTCAACATTTTGACAAGTAATCTACGTGATCCTAGTCACAGAGTTTTACATTAAAACATGGGCAAAAGAGGACAGTCTGTTTTGTATTTGGACTAGTACATTGACTTAAATGGTGATTCCCTATTTTTTTCCCATGGCCTTTCTTACAATAAAAACTCATAAATATTCTGAGACAAATTATTTCTATATTCTTGTTGGGCTCACTCTCAGAATGAATTAGGAAATCTCTAGGAATATACATCAGAATCATCAAGGTAACTCTTCAAAACATACATTCTTAGCCTCCACTCTGTACCCAATGAATTGGAACCTCTGGAAAACTCAAAAGAATAAAGTAACAAGGAAATACTATACAATATTTAAAAAAAAACAAGGTTCATTTTTCAAGTGCGCACTTTGATTTTACCCTACATACCAACTAATAAGTTAACCTGTTACTGTTTCATGGATATTAGCAGAAAACATAAAACTTCTGGGTTAGAAACAATGAACTTTATAATTTGCAGCACAGCAGTCGGTATGACCATCATTAACTGTTTCCTTGCCCTCAAGCCCCGTGATGGGTAATACAGATGGACACAGATGGGTGCCTGGACACAGAGTGGGCAGTGTTATAGGAGAGGAACACTGAGCTTGAGAGCCCTACTGTTTCACAGCAGAAAGTAAGCCAGTTTGCCCTTTGTCCTAGAGGGACACATTACCTCAACCCTCAGGGTTGATTACTGCAAACACAACTCTGAGAAATGACCCAGGTAAAAAAGTGGCTAGGGCCTTGCATTCTTGGCATAAGCAGCAAGGTGTGTGAGAGTGTGAGAGAACAAAGAAAGACTATTTCTCAAAACATCTATATGAACTATCAAGAGTTAATCTTTTTTTAAAGGCAATATGTGGGACGTCAGAATAATCCCATCTGTACTTAAAAAAAAAAAAAAAAAAACAGGAGTGACATATAATCTTGTAAACATGCAGAATATTTTTAGAAGAGTATTTTTTAAACTCCCTTGAAAGTAGGAAAGGAGGAACTTTTATTCAACTTTATACTATTCCTTTTGCTTTGTTATTATGAGCATATATATATATATGTTAAATCATTAAAAAAAATTACCTGTTTTTTGTCAGTAGATACTCTGGCCATCTCTTCATTATCTCCTAAGGGTCCATGCTTTCCCTCTTCATTTTTCTAATAAAATTCAGATTACGAAAAAAAAGATTAGTACATAAGATATATGACTAATTCAATATTCCCATATTTAAAGGTTGACTTCCTTGGCTTTGACCATTTTTTTTTTCCATGATGAAACTCTACATTGACTTCCTACTTTGAATCAAGTTCATACTACTTTACTTAGTAAATAAGACTTTCACAATCTATTCCCTATGTACTGTCCCCAAATATAGAAGGATTGGAAATTGTCATCAGAAAATAAGATTCTGAAGTTTACGGCTTCATAATTGTGGCAGTTTTGAACAATGGAAAAGTCCAAAGTGTGGCCATGAATAACTAAAGTGGAATACAGCTAAGTTAATTGGAATTGAGATGATAAGGAATTATGGTAGCAAAGGTATTAGATCTGGATTATGATTATCTGGAATGGCACAAGGAGATCTCTGGTGGGGCATTATTCCGTTAATTATTCTGAATTCCCCCTTGCTATGTAACAAAACATAGTCACAGGCTCCAGGGAATGGCACAAGGAGATCTCTTGTAGGGCATCATTATTCTGTTAATTATTATTCTGTTAATAATGCCCCACCAGAGATCTCCTTGTGCCATTCCCTGGAGCCTGTGACTATGTTTTGTTACACAGCAACGGGGAATTCAGGTTGCAGCTGGAACTGAGGCACTAACCACTTACCTTGAGAGGGGGAGATTATTCTTGATTATCTGATTGGTCCAATGTTATCACAAGGGTCATTATAAGTGAAAGAGGGATGTGGGAGAGTCAGTGATGCAACATGAAAGACTCAACTGGCCATCCCCGCTGGCTTTGAAGATGGAAGGGGCCCATGAGCCAAGGAAAACAAATAATCTCCACAGGTAGAAAAGGCAAGGAAACAGATTCTCCCCTAGAACCTCAGAAGGGAATTTAGCTCTGCCAACACTTTGATTTTAGTCCAGTAAGACCCATTTCAGACCTCTTACTTACAGAACTATATAATAAATTTGTGTTGTTTTCAGCCACTGACTTGGTGGTCATTTGTTATAGCAGCAATATAAAACTAATGCAGGTATATCCATGAAGGGAAAGAAGTAGGAAGAAAGATTGAGGTAAGACCAAAGTCGTTTATTAGTTCAACAAATACTTATTGAACCCTTGCTATATGACAGCCTCGTTGCTCAAGATGCAGCCCTCATAGAGCTTATGATTTATGAAAACAGAAAAGTGACTATGAAGTAAGTTGATTAAGACAAAGAAAGTGAGATAGAATTCTGTGAGCTCCAAAAGAGGTGGGATAGTTAATAAATTGACACAATTTTAAAGTAGGAATGGGAAACTTTGTAAATGCTGACCTGCTAGTCTTATGAAACAAGTGCTAGATGCTAGAAAAGAAACAACCTTCAAAAAGAAGTTTACAAGAAAACCCATGTTCTGGGAATGAGGTTTCTGTTGAAACAGAACAGGAAGTAGAGGAAGTGATGGTGTCAGTGGCAAAACGGTAAGGATGTGGGAGCTAGTAGTGATAATAATTAAATGAGTAATGATAGTAACAGTACCTAACATCTACTGCATGTTTATCATGTACCAAACCCTAAATTATCTCATTTAATCCTTATAACTTTATAAAGTAGCTCCTATTATTCCCATTTTACAAATGAGGAAATTGTGGCTCAGGGAGATTAAATAACTCAACCATGGTCACACAGATAATAAGTGGATATGCCAGATCCAGCCCAAGATCCATCATCTTAACTATTACGCTACATTACTTCTGTTCTGGAAAAGTACAGTAAGGGCCTTTAGCATGAGGTACCAGAAGACACAATGGAAAGAGTTAGGAGGCTGAATGCGGTGGCTCATGCCTGTAATCCTAGCACTTTGGGAGACTGAGGAGGGTGGATTATGTGAGCCCAGGAGTTCGTGACCAGTCTAGGCAACAGGGCAAGACCCCATCTCTATTATAGTAAATAAATAAATAAATAAATAAATAAATAGAGTTAGAAGGCAAGAACAATAAGGATATGTAGAGAAAAGTGAGGAACAATGCAGTTATTCTAAATCAGATTCAGTAATAAGTAACAGTCAAGCAATTTAGATTTAAATTCTAATTTAAATTAAAAGGAAAAACTATGAACAAGTAGAAAGATTTTTAAATGACAGCCATTTCCACAGTGCTTGATTTCTACTTCAAAACTTTTCACTGTGTTTTTTCCTTATAAGTCTCATAAACGACTTTCTCTCTTACTTATTTAGTTTTGAACTCGACTCTTAAAAATTATTGGCTGGACACGGTGGCTCACACCTGTAATCCCAGCACTTTGGGAGAATGAGGTGGGTGGATCACCTGAGGTCAGGAATTCAAGACCAGCCTGGCTAACATGGTGAAACCCCATCTTTACTCAAAATACAAAAATTAGCCAGGCATAGTGGCACATACCTGTAATCCCAGGTATTAGGGAGGCTGAAGCAGGAGAATAGCTCAAACCTGGGAGGCAGAGGTTGCAGTGAGCCAAGATCAGGCCATTGCATTCCAGCCTGGGCAACAGAGTAAGAGTCAGTTTCAAAAAAAAAAAAATCTTGGTTTTCAACACAGGAACAGAAAACCAAATTCTACATGTTCTCACTTATAAGTGGGAGCTAAATGATGAGAACACATAGACACATGGTAGGTAACAACACACACTAGGGCCTGTCAGAGGGGGAATGGTGGGAGGAAGAAAGGCATCAGGAAGAATAGCTAATGGATGCTGGGCTTACTATCTAAGTGATGGGATGATCTGTGCAGCAAACCACCATGGCATACATTTACCTATGAAACAAATCTGCATGTGTACCCCTAAACTTAAAATAAAGGTTGAAGAAAAAATAAGAGACAATATATGTTAAGCACAGTGTCTGGCAGATAATAGTTACTCAATAAATCATAATTGTTATTATCATTAAAAAATTATTAGTTTTTAAACTCAATGTGTACCTTGCTAAACAATCTTTAAGGAGTACCCATAGAGTGTAAATATTTGACAACATAGGAAAGCTTGTATCAGTTATATTTGGAAGTGGTTATATGTTAATAATACACTAAGTCTATTAAAAATTACAGACAGTTTCAGTATCCAGTAACAGGGGAATAGACAGGTTTATCAATACAACTGATTGTTATGCAATTATTAAAATAATGATTAAAAAAACACATAGTACCTAACATGGGCCAGGCGCTAAGAGCTTTACAAATATTAACTCATTCATTTCTCATAAAAGCCTCATGTAGTTTATACTAGTAACATTTCATTTTACAGATGAGGAAGCTGACACAGAGAGGTAAAGTTGCCCAAAGTTACACAGCTAGTAAGAGGTGGAGCCAGAATTTGAATCCAAGCAGGGTGGCTACAAAACCACTGGCTACTCTAAAGCGCTAGACTAAGGTGATGCTCTAATGTTTATTTAGCGTAAGTATTTTCTTATGTTAAGTGAAAAGGGCAGGATCCAGAGTTAAATGATCTCATATAAGTAAAGAAAAATAAGAGAAAAAAGATTGAGAAACAATTTTTAAAAAGTAATTAGTTTCTAGGAGGTAGAATTATGAGAAATTTTTTTCTTCTGTTCATTTAAAAAATAACAAACATATATTATTTTGGTAACTCATAAAAACACTTTTAGTATGACAAAAGGTTGATAAAGTATCAAAAGCAATATTTCCAGTACAATTACATGTCTAATTGCATCTTGGTGTTTCTATGATTTACTCTGTACAGCAAAAACAGACTAAAGAATTTAAATGGCGGGGCGCGGTGGGTCACGCCTATAATCCCAGCACTTTGGGAGGCTGAGGCAGACGGATCATTAGGTCAGGAGATTGACACCATCCTGGCCAACATGGTGAAACCCCGTCTCTACTAAAAATACAAAAAAAATAGCTGGGTGTGGTGGCACATGCCTGTAGTCCCAGCTACTTGGGAGGCTGAGGCAGGAGAATTGCTTGAACCCAGGAGGTGGAGATTGCAATGAGTTGAGATGGCACCACTGTACTACAGCCTGGGAGACAGTGTGAGATTATCTCAAAAAAAAAAAAAAAAAAATTAAAAATTAAGAATTTAAGTGAAACAATCATTACTTTAGCTTAAAGAAGATTTTTTTTCTCTTAATAGGAAAAAGTTCTTACTCAACTCTATGAATATCATGTGCAATTAATACTGGAAAAAATATATACTATAGTAAATGGTAAAGAAATATTAGGCACAAAAATTGGGTAATATTTCGAGGATTTAATATTTCTACAAGTATAAACACAATGGCAGCATATACTATACGTACATGAAATTTAGATGTATTCTTATTGTATAATTTAAAATTAATAACTTATCAACCCTGTAACAGTACAAAAACTGGCAAATACAAAATTGTATTCCTGCAATGACTGCAACTACCTGCAAAATTATGTGGATATTAACTAGCACAAAAAGGGAATCCAAGAGAAAAAAATATAGTTTGATTTTTAAAATGATGTAGCTAAAGATTGTCTTCAGTTTCAATGACAATGTTTGTACAATAAATAAATACCCTATAAAAGTGGAGTACATTATACTCCCTTTCATTCTGTATTCTTCCCCCACACTATTATTGCTCTCACTTTTTTACAATAGCCATGATATCAGAAGAACTAATTAAATTATATACTCCTGCTTTATTGACATTAAATATACAAGTAATTAACAATCTGCAATCATGTTCTAAATATTTGCTAAATCTGCTTTTTTGGAATTTAAACCACATTTTTCTCATATAAACAATGTTAAAAATGGCAGTCAAGTTCCCAAGCTAACATGCAAAAGCCTATTTCACTCATAAGATAATTGCTGGAATAATCCTGAGGCTTCCCCTCCCCAAGTGCCTGTTGAGTCCCAAGGCCTACAGGTAAGAACAGAAGTGGAGGCCTACCCAAGACCAGGGTGAGAGGGTTGTAGTCCTAGGAGGCATGGGTGTGGGAGCAGAGCTGGAAAGACACCAATGCAGTGAATAGGAGCTGGGCAAGCTCCAGGACCAGGAGCTAAGTGTGATAACCTTTCATACAGCCAAGTCAATCCTACTTCCAGGTTGCCTGGCTTTCTGAAGACATGAATGTTCTTTGTTTTGATATCTTCTGTACTCATTTCTATGTGTTTTAACCTTCCATTTAAAAGCTCTAAATAGGCCATGTGGCGGTGGCTCATGCCTGTAATCCGAGCACTTTGGGAGGCTGAAGCGAGTGGATCATGAGGTCAGGAGTTTGCGACCAGCCTGGCCAATATGGTAAAACCCTGTCTCTACTAAAAATACAAAAATTAGCCAGGCATGAGGGCGCACGCCTGTAGTCCCAGCTACTCGGGAGGCTGAGGCAGAAGAATTGTTTCAACCCGGGTGGTGGAGGTTGCAGTGAGCCAAGATCATGCCACTGCACTCCAGCCTGGGCAACAAAGCACGATTGCGTTTCAAAAAAACAAAAACAAAAACAAAACAAAATAAAAGCCTTAAATAGACATGAGTATAAGTCAGATTCTAAATAAGATCCCAAATAAAATATTTGAAACAAAAGACTTCTTTCATTTAAAAAAAAAGTCCACGGTGCCCACCTGATGAAGGAATGAGATGCCAGGAAAACTAGGCATCACTGGGAGAAAACAGAGTCATAACCCTGATCTTTTGTTAAACACGATATAAAGTTGTATAAAATCTTGTTGTTAATATAGTTTTGAAATTTACTTGTAGTATTTTTTTTACCAAAATGCTAACTGAAAGCTTTATCTCAGTTTTCTCGGATACATACTTTTTTCTGTAAAGTATGAGGAAACAGTAGGGTATGTATTATTTGCAAACAAACTTCAACAATTAGTTGGGCAATCAATCCCTTCCTAACAGAAACATAAATATCATTTATCACTAATTAAATAGAACTTGTGCCTATCTGTTGAAAAAAAAATTTCAACATAGGATGTGGTATGTATGTAAAAAAATAGAGCTAAAATGAGATCAAATCTAGATACTTGAAAAAGAAAGCTTCTTCAAAAATTTTATTCAATCTCTAATATGTCCAGTTTTAAAAAGTCTTAAATCTCTAAATATTTGCTTCTAATCTGGCTCTTCAAAATAAATTTATCAGCAAAAAAAAAAAAAAAAAAAAAACAAAAAAAAAAAAAAAAAAAAAAAAACCCAAAGTCCCTGAGAGCTTAGAAACCTACTTTCATAAAATAATACTAAGTTGTTAACAAGCAGAAGGAATAAAAGAACTTCAAAATTCATGAAGGAAATAAAGAGCCTTTTCAAAGCCATTAGTAAAATGTGGAGCCAGAGTAGGGGATGAGGGTGAGAAATATGGAATAACAATGCATAATATTTTAAATAATGTTTTACTATCTATAAAACACTTCACATAGGAAGTGGGGGAGGAAGCTACGCCAAGAGATATCACTTTTTTATAAGAAGTGAATATCCTCACATCTCATTAAAATTCCTCAATGCAATTCCTATATTGATAGGATAAAATCTAAACTTTGCAAGGCATACAATGCTTTTTACAATATGATTCCTGTCTACATTTACAAGCTCCTTTCCAGTCTCTTCCCTCCACCTAACTTCATTCTCTGGCCTGAGGACCACAAATTCTCTGACTCCTCCAAGCTTTCCCTCTAGAGTTCCTGGGCGTGGGCAAATGTCCACATATTCTTCATGTCTCAGTGCAAATAAGACCTTCTCTGAATCCTTCCTTCACTTTCCCATATAGAGCTTTGCTCCCAGTCTTGCCAGCATCTCTGCTTATACTGTGTACTCGCTCCACGATCTAATTCTATTTTAATTGTTTAAATGCCTAGTGTTTCTTCTCATTAGAAAATAAGGACCATGTTTTTTTCTGCTTTGTGTCTCCAATGCCAAGCACAAAACCTCATCCACAGTAAAATGAAAAGAAAATCTCCTAAGAGTACTGTGGGAATTTAAGGATTTATAGCCTTTTTCTGGAAAATTTTAAAAAACTTTTAGCAGAATTATTGGCAAGTTGGAAACCTCAGTGAGTACATGCAGAATATAATCACAGCTTTGTAAAATAAAAAACCTCATGCTTAAGATTGGAAGTACCAAAATGTTAACAGTAATGTTACAGTGGTGAGAAACCATAGGTAATTTTCTGGCCCCTCTCTGCCCTTTTATCTCTGTTTTCAAAAATGTCTTAAATGCTCAACCTAACCTAATACTATTTTCCAATGGCCATGGCCCCCTATAACCATTAATGCCAACACCATAAGCTTCCAAAATTACCAAACAGAAATGATGAGAACCTAGCACCATTCCATTCCAAGCATGGAGGAAAATGAGAACCTAGCACCTTGTTTCCCCAAGGGTAGAAGAAAGACAAGACGTAGGATGTCCATACTTCCAATTCCAATATATTGGCTTTTATGATTATTGTTACTATACATTTCTGATCTTGTGTTTTTTTTCTGAGATGGAGTCTTGCTCTGTCACCCAGGCTGGAGTGCAGTGGCACAATCTCAGCTCACTGCAACCTCCATTTCCCGAGTTCAAGCGATTCTCATCCCTCAGCCTCCTGAGCAGCTGGGACTACAGGTGTGCACCACCAAGCCTGGCTATTTCTTTTTTTTTTTCTTTTGAGAAGGAGTCTCTGTCGCTCTGTTGCCAGGCTGGAGTGCAGTGGAGCGATCTTGGCTCACTGAAATCTCCACCTCCCAGGTCCAAGAAATTCTCCTGCTTTAGCCTCTTGAGTAGCCGGGACTACAGCCACGTGCCACCACACCCAGCTAATTTTTCTATTTTTAGTAGAGACGGGGTTTCACCATGTTGCCCAGGGTGGTTTTGAACTCCTGACTTCAGGTGATCCGCCAGCCTCAGCCTCACAAAGAGCTAGGATTTCAGGTGTGGTCCACTGCGCCCGGCCCATTTCTAATCTATTTTGATCATTTCAAGATCCAAAGAGACTTCTTTCATCCAGCATACACCAATTAGACTTCATATAATGGTAGACACTGAAGGGTATATAGGAGGTAAAATAAGACATGGTCTCTATCTCTAGGCAATTTATTTATTTCTGTGGCAGAGGGGTAAACCTACCTAGATAAAACACCAACAGTATATCTTATTGGGAGAAATTATGTGGTATAGACAATAATCTTATTAGCCAAACTGACATATAAATACAATTAGTACCTGATAAATACAGCAGTCTCGGAAAGTATTTTTAAAATGGAAGATGACTTACTACAGCTAGGAGTTATAAAGTGTCATGTTAAACAATAAAGGTATTTTTAAAATCTTAAGGCTTGTTAAGTTTGGTTTTAGGTATGACAGAAACTGGAGCAATAAAGTCAGATTGTAAATCACTGTTTCTCTAAGGGGAAAAACTATGAAACAAATTATACCTGAGATTTTTGCTTCTGGGCTTCTACTGCTGGGAAGAGCTCCATCCAGAGGCTGAGCAGAGTGAAAAGGTTGACTTTAGAAAGCCTTGGTATCTGACCTACAAAAGAGAGGGCAAACACTTAAAAATGTGTTACTAATGATGAAAAAGGGAGCTAATCTCAATGTCACTTGGGTGCTGCAGCCTAAGCCCAACTGCTTTTGCATGAGGCATAGAAAAGGATTCGAGGAAAAGAGAGTCAGAGGTGTCTCAGCAGGAGACCTTCAGCCTCAGTCGCGGCGACCTCCTTCTCCACTTAAAAAGTTGGGCCCAGGCCGGGCGCGGTGGCTCACGCCTGTAATCCCAGCACTTTGGGAGGCCGAGGCGGGTGGATCACGAGGTCAAGAGATCGAGACCATCCTGGTCAAAATGGTGAAACCCCGTCTCTACTAAAAATACAAAAAATTAGCTGGGCATGGTGGCGCGTGCCTGTAATCCCAGCTACTCAGGAGGCTGAGGCAGGAGAATTGCCTGAACCCAAGAGGCG